CCAGAGCCCCTGGTGCTCCTCCACCAGTCAGTCCCTCCCCACTTCCTCAGCAGTGCTTGACTCTGCCCTCGCTGCCCAGGCAGCGCTTGGGCTGCTGGCAGAGCTTCCTGGCCCTTGGGATGGGCTTCAGTGCTCTGGCACAGAGCCTGGCTCGGGCAGGCGGCACTGGGGCTCTCCCTGCTGACCCTGCCTGTGCCATGGGCTCCCCAGGGCAGGGCTGGGGGTCTCGGGGCACTTGCTGACAAGGGCTAACCTTGAACAACCCTATTTGCCTAAACTGTTTCTCAGGAGATTAGTGGGATAAAGGCTGAACATTCCCGTGTGTCAAAGGACATCAGAAAGATCCTGGAGGTGCAGGTTTGTGCAGACAACAGTGGGGGTGAAGGTTGTGTTCCCCAGGGACACTCCCCAGGGGCTCATCTCTGACACCCCTTTCTCCTACAGTCCCACATGGCAGAGGACATAAAGAGGCTCCAGGAAGAGTATTATCAGGTGAATTGCTGCTGTGAGACACTTGTGGCTCTGAGGCAGCAGCCAGTGGCCTCGGCTGTGCCGGCTGCAGGCTCAGCAGCCCTGACCCTGCTGGATGCATGGAGAGTGCTGCCTGCAGTGCCCTGCCAGCCTGGCTGAGCCTGACCTGCACTGTCCCCTGTGCTGGGCACACCACGGCAGGAGGAAGGTCCTGCAGGTCCCCAAAGACCCTCCTCTGGGACTCACCCCCACCACCCCTTTCTCCCAGTCCATGGCTGACTACCAGAATCTTCGCGAGGAGATTGGCATGATTAAGACAACACAGTCCAACATGGCAGAGAAGATGAGAGAGACATTTGCATCGGTGAGCCACTGGCTGGTGTCACCTTTGGGCTCTTGTGGGATATTTGAGTGTGGCTGCCTGAGCTGGAGATTTGGGGTTGGGCCGGGGACAGGGTGTGAGGCCCTGGTTCTGCCCTGAGTCTGCCACCACTGCCCTTCCCAGATGAAGAAGATGGAGGACGACATTGGAAAGCTGAGGGAGGATGCAGAGAAGTGGAAAGAAGAGATCAGTGAGCAGATCACTCAACAAGTGGAGTAAGAGGAGAGGAAGGGGTTTACTACCACATAGGGCTGCAAGACAGCCCAGAGGATATGAGAGCATCCTGGTTTGGGGGTAAGGGACATTGCCCAAGCAGCACTGGGGAGGCTAAGCCAGCCCCTGCCCCCATCTCGCTGGCCAGGTCCGTGCTACAGGAGACAAAGATTGAACTCAAGAAGATGGAGGAGCAGCAGGAGATGAGGAATGTCATGCTGGAAGAGATGGTGAACGAGGCAACCAACCAGATAAATGAGGCAACCAACCAGATGAATGCTCAGGTGAGGTGCTGGGGGAGCACTCCCACTACCCGCCGGCTCAGTAGAGGGGTCCTGAGAGGGTTCCAGCCACATCCCCCATCTGGCTGGGGCCATCGAGCCCCACAGCACCCAGGTGTGCTGGTTGCATCCATCCCATCTCTGAGCGGATTCCTTCTGCCCTTCCTGCAGCTGGGCGAGCTGGGGGAAATAACAGGGGCTATGCGGGAGGAGACAGAGATGGAGGAGCCAGAGTGTTCCAACTGCACCTTCAACATCAGAGTGTTTTTGAGGGAGCTTGTCAAGTGCTGTGAGAAACTCAAGGAGGAGGTGGAGTCCCTGCAGTCCCGGCAGACAGCTGTGGGCAAGGTGGAGAACATCATAAAGCAAAGAAGCCAGGTAGGGAATTGGCATCACAGGGGACTTGGGAGTGGGCTGATGGCATTCCCTGGCTGGCTGTGCTTTGCTGTAAAATGTTGGGAGCCCCTCACTGCCCCCAGACTGACTTGGACCAGTCAGCAGCATGGAAGGAAATTAAAGCCTTGTGCAAATGTCCTCTTGACACTGAGGACTCGTGGAACCAGACTCCCCTTGCAAAGCATCATCTTTTTTTCCTCCCTGGAGCAGGACCAGCAGCTCCTGCAGCACATGGAGGACAAGGTCAGGAAGATTCAAGGGGACTGTGAGGAGCTCAGCTTGGTCTCAGGGAACCTCCAGAAGGACTGTGAGGAAAAGCAGAAAGCTATTGAGGTGGGTGGCTCAAAGTCCCGTGGGGTCAGAGCATCTCCCAGGCACACTCCAGGTGGGGGACCACAAGGAATCTGTCCCCCTGCCGACCTGCTCACAGCCCTGAGCTGGTTCCAAGGGTGTTCCCCAGAGGTTTTTGGATAGGGGGAGCAGGGGCTGCTCAGCTGACCAGGAGGCAGCTCCAGCCCTGCTGCCATGTCAAGGGATGCTTTCTGTGTTGAAAGATGCTGTTCCAGTCCTTGGAGAAATTGCAGAAGGAGAAAGCAGATGAGCAGAAAATGTTGCAGAACATGTTGACGACAATGGATGTGGTACAGTCTCGAGGGCCCTCTGTGCCAGCCCAGGGCTTCCTGGACAGGGTGACAAGTGCCCCTTGTGCTTTGGCGCATGGGTGGCAGAAGTGGTCTGGGAGAGGGAGGATTTCCAGACCAAGTGCAGGTCCCTTGCCTCTCCACGGATGGGACTGACCCCATGGGGGTGATGGGGTGAATGGGACCACCCTGCCCTGAAAGGGGCATGATGGCACGAAGGGAGTGCTTCTCCCTCTGCCCCTGACACGCCCTGGCCCTGCCTGTCATTCCTCAACCCTTTCCCCTCTTCACTCCTGCCTTTCTCCTCTGCTAGAAAGCGGACAAAAATGCCTTGGGCAGCAAAGTCAATTGCACCCAGTTTGAGGCAAACATGGAGCGGCTGGATCAGAGGCTGCGGAAGATGCAAAGTCAGGTGTCAGGACAGAATCAGCACTGGAATGAGCTGCAGGAGAAGCTCAGCCACAGGATAGAAAACAAGGTGAGGAGTGGCTCGTCCCCAGTGTGCAAAACTGGCACCTTTGAGTCTTGGCAGCCTGAGACAGCATCCCTCTGAAGGTCCCATTCTTGGATTTTTCCTTGAGAGAGCCATGTCCCATGCTGGGGCAGCTGGCTGAGGGTGTGCACCTGTCCACAGCTGGATCGCCTGGAGCTGAAGGCTTTCCATGAGAAGATGGAGGAGACCTGGAAGAAGAGCATCAGGGAGCTTGAGAAGAAGAT